GGAGGAGGCGTTTTCTCTTGAAACCCTCCTCTAAAAATCTTTTTTCACTTACCAGACTACTGCAGCGTATTTCAAGCCGAAATTTGTATGGAATCTTCTGAAAATCTTGGATCCGAAATGATGGGAAGGGGCGTCTTCATTTTTAGTGATAGCCAGGCTGGAATCAAATATCGGAGCTCTTGCATTGGACTGCCGCCTATCCCTACAGCAGATGGCCAACAGATATAGGGACCTAGAGTGTAAGTGCATCGGGGATGAACTTGCAAGGCAAGGCACAACCAAGCACGTTCCTCCTGGTATAGAACGCATTGGTATACTTTTTGCCACTTGCAAGCTGCCACTTAGTGACTTTGTATACAAATAACCTGAAGAAAGATGGAGTCAAAGTACGACTTGTCAGATTTCCAGGCAGACTTGGCCTAAATTGTGCCGGAAACGGTCACGAAGGGTTTGCCCTCTTATAAGAGAGGATATATCTAACGTTGTGGTGCGGGGCTCCAATCGGGCACCGTCTAATAGGTAAGCATGCAGAAAGGCTTGGTGTCCCTTTATGTAGATTTGTGGTTCAACAGAGAGGATAATTGAACGGTGTTAAACTGTTGTAACACAATGGGGCTTCTATCTAGGGCCCAAATGTGCCACTAAGGCGAAAGCCACTTCTACCTACCTACATAAATACCCTTAAAACAATTTCGGTAACACCCAAATTCATAAAAAAAATAAAGAAGACGTTGAATACTTTATAAACCGAAAAATGTTATGGAAATCTTACCTTATAAAGCTCTTTAAATGTATTTTATTTTTCATGAATAAGGCCATAAGAGATTTGGATGTACATTAGGGCGATTTTTGTTTTTTGCGACTATTGTTTTTTTTCACTCCTACCTCAAAATTTTGCGGAAAACAGCTCCCTGAAAATTTGAACCCATAATATTAACATTAAGTACTCGCCCAAGGCGTGCAAAGATTTCCCATTAAAAATACACGTAAACTTTGAGTTTTTTTCTTAAAAAGTCTACAGCTCAGAGACATTTTATGTTATAATATTGGTCAATGATGGGTTTTCTTCAGAATTGAATGCTCTACAAAAGTGTCCATTGCGGTTTAATCCTAACTCCCACCAAAGAGGTAATACGGGTCACTAAATCCAATTTTTTCATAAAATTCTCGTTTTTTTGCCACTATCTCGAAAATAACAAGAGCTACAGAAAAAATATAAATGACAAACTTGTAGGACTTTCAATTTCCTACAAAAAAAGTTTCAGAACACAAAATCGCTAAAATCGATATTTCTTGAGATATTGGACTTTGAAGTTGATCGACAATTTCTACAATTAAGCTTAATTGTCCACGAAAATTCCATACTACCTCAAATCCAGCAAAGCGGCTTTTGGATAGGTAGCAACCTTTCGAAAAAAATTGCCTAGTAAAGCTTCAAACACTTTTCGTTTAATTTCAATATTTTGAATTTTTACTAGGTACATATTTAGGTAGGTGACAGCTCAATTAAAAATATTTCTAGTTCGAAGATTTCTCAAATAAATTTCAGCTGATGGCCATACTTTTATTATTACTCAAACTGGTGGCAACCGTTAAATTTTTTTTTTTTTTTTAATCTAAGAAGGAATTCATATTAAATATTCTTCCGAAGGTTATTTTGTCAAACTTCTAGGAAGGTTCTCAAGCTTGGAGACTATCTCAAAAGGCATCACATAATAAATATTTATTTATAAATTAAGACTTGGCATAAACCCAATTATAAAATTTACTGCAAAACTTCAAAAAATAAAATAAAATAAAATCATTTATTTTCGGTATCCGCTCTTATCCTAAATAAATAGTAGCTGTATAATGAATGTAGTTTAATCGATATACTAATGAAATCTATTTCATTTTACTTTCATTCTTTTCAAATTTCTGCTATCCTACGATAACAACAACACCAACATCTACCAACGAAACAACCATGAATGCTGCTGGTCTATATTAATTGTCAATTACTGACAACGAATAATAAAAAATATAAAACAACCAAAAAAACGCGACTATTGCAATTACGACAACAATGAATATAATAATAACAATAACAAAATTAATAATGGCATCAACACTCATTGTGGCAACGAATACATACCGACAACAATTCTGAAAACTAACTAACGAATTACAACACTTTTATGACGTACGAACCATAACAATTACGTTGGTAATGACGATGGTGATGCCGACGATGACAATGCTGGTGCTATTGTGATGATGACGTGGTAATGGCAATGGTGTTGATGCGTAAACGCGACGACGATGAATGTTTCTTATGTGGTGGGAATAATGCTGCGAAAATTATTTGCCTGCGAAAAATTAAAACTAAATACTCATAACAACAAAAAAATACCAATATTAAAAAATTCATGAAAATTAATTTCAATAAAAAAAAATTGCAAAACGAAATAAAATAAACAAAAATCAAATAAAATAAAAAATAAAAAATAAAATAAAAAATAAAATAAAATAAAATAAAATAAAATAAAATAAAATAAAATAA